GGAAACCAGCGAGGACAGGGAGCCGTAGGATTGATACGGGAGAATGCTGACGATGGTCATCTGGAAAACTCGGGGGATGAAGAAGCGTCACAACATGCAAGTTCCATTGGATGGGTCAATAAGAATCCAGTGGTACACTCGTGGGACTCGAGCAGTTCAGACGGGGACTATATGGTCATGGCAATAAAACATAAAAGAGTTACAGAACTGAAAGTTGCTGGGGCACAATTACCGATGTGGATCGATAGCGGGTCTCCAATTTCGATCTTCACCATTGGGGAATTGAGGATGACTTTGGGAACGTCAGGAGTAAAATTGGATAATCTTACGGAGGAAGATAATGCTTTTCGGGATTATGGAAACAATCCGCTACAGATGATTGGAACAATGGCGGTAACAATACAATCAAACGGCTGGAAGATTCACGCGAGGATAAAAGTAATCGGAGGAAACCGACCATCAATAATTGGAAGAGATCTGATGCCCCAATTAGGACTCCAGCTGGTGCAAAAATCACCAGGGGAACAGATAATGTCCATTGAAGAAGGCAACCAGGACGCACTGGAACCGGAGGGGGAGTTGGATTCATGGCAAAACTATTTCAGTAAGCAGTTTTCAAACCTTTTTAGCAGGGTAGGGAAAATAAGAAACTACAAAATACAAGCTGAATTTTTTGAAAACCTCACCCCAGTACAACAGAAGGGGCGTCGAGTTCCGATTTCGTTGCAAGAAAAAGTTGACGCTGAAATTGATAAACTATTGCAACAGGGCCATATCGAAAAACTAACAGAATGCTCGGACAAATATTTTGTGTCCCCGATAGTAATAACAGTAAAAAAGGATGGGTCCGTGAAGCTAGCACTCGAGTCGAGGGAATTAAATAAACAAGTGCATAAGAACAAATATCAAATGCCGAATATCGAGGAACTAATGGACACAGTTGGGCAAACGATTAGTGAAAAAAAACAGGGAGACATATATTTCACAACAATGGACTTAACATACGCATATGGCCAACTGCCATTAAACGCTGAAACGAGCGTACAGTGCAATTTTTCTCTCATTGGAGGCCGCTCGACGGGAACGTACCGGTTCAAGACCGGATTCTATGGTCTAACTACTATGCCCGCGGAATTCCAACGCGCAATGGATTGCATACTCGCCGAATACCCGCAGGCGCACGCGTTCATCGACGATATTTTATAAGGGACGAATACATCCAAGGGACACAATAAATCCAAGGGACCAATTTGTACAGCGGAAAGTAAGCAATCTATAAATAGACTGGAAGTTTCGTCACGAAATGAATCGGTAGAGGGCGGAAAAACATGTTAGCGGAAATCAACCAATCAGATTCAAACACGTAATTTGAGCCGACGGCTACGCAAAATACGCACTGGATTAGTTGGGGCTATTATTAAATCAGAACACAGTTGTTCAAAATTATCAAAATCCAATTCTCAAATTTCAGCATCAAATACCAAAATGGATCGAAGCATGCGTAAATGGCAAAAATTCCTTCAACAACATCCAAGTTTGAATAGTAGTAGCGACGAAATTGACGAATTGCCCCCAAATGTATCACTAGAAGCCGTTACCAAAGAAACAAGATCAATTCGCACTAACACAACTCTCTCGTTACCCTCGGCATTCAAAGGAGAAACAGTACCACCAGTGGACCCGAATCTATTATGTATGTCAATTATCCCTCGGAATTGCAAAATCGTAAATAAAGTTACTTCATTACCTGATCTATTTAATCTAAAATTCATAGAATCGAATTAGGTATCTGACCCCCAACTGAGTGCTATTCGCGACCTTATTGTTACACAAGATCCTGAAATCGATGAAAAAATCACTGAAATGAACCGCTATTATGGTCAATTCGTTAATGACTTTTCGGTGAAGGAAAATGTAGTCTGGATGAATGAAAAATTAGTAATTCCAATTAACCTTCAATCAGCGATTAATAACCGAATCCATGCGTATCACCACGGGAAATCAAATATGTTCGATGCAGCGAAAGATGTTTGGTACCCTTATATTTACCGCTCAATAGCTTCCATTGCCGAAGGGTGCCCCGAATGTACCGCAGCCGGTAATATATTAAAAACGATAATAAAGAAAAACCAACTTGGATCTGTATCGGAACCAAGAGAACCAAATGAATCAGTCCAATTAGATTTTTGGGGGCCCCATCAATTACTTAAATGAATCCCGCAAATATGTATTAGTGGCAGTAGATAGGTTTTCTCGTTGGCCATCGGCAATGGTATGTGGAAATAATCGGTCAGATAAAATACTGAAATTCTTGAAGATCTATATAACAAACCATGGGGTGCCACGGAAAATTCACGTTGATCAGGGAGCTAGTTTCATGTCAAACGAGATTAAAGCTTTTTGTAATGGGGAGGGCATTGAAATTATTAAATCACCAGTAAACGACCATCGAGAAACGGGGTGCGTCGAGCGTACCATTGGCAGTCTGAAAAATTTGATCCTTACCTTCGCTCAAGAAAAGAATCCCGAACCCTTGGAGAAAATGGTTGAACGGGCCCTTGGTGCTCTCAGATTCTCAAAAAATTCAACTCTAAAAATCTCGCCTTTCGAAGCTCACCATGGTAGAGAAGCGAACACAGTTTTACGGAACCTTACTAAAAAGCCATCTCTTCAAAATCTGGATTGGTCACGGGTTATAACAACGAAGAATGCTTGTTTAGATGCCGCCGATCCAAATGAGCAAGACATGCCCCATCCAGCCGATACAAACTGGAGTGTAAGATCAGACATCGCATACGATATCAAAAACAGGACCCATGCAAGACGTCTTACAGAGGACCAATCCGCCCAACAACACGACGAACCGTCGCTACTTAAAAGTGCAAACCCCATTGGACAACCGGGACCATCTGGATTGTTGTTCCAGCGAACTGGGAACCGGAACCTAAAAAGGTATAAACAAATCCACTCTAAAGTAAGATCCGAGAGTACACATACCCTAACTTTTGATAATGGGGTTGTGCTTAGGAAATCGCGAGTGGCCACAAAGCCCAAACCAAAGAAATTGAAAGTTGCAGCTAAATCCGTATTACCGGTACCCTCGAGTGAAGTAAACAAGCCAGCAACTCAACCAGTGTTACCACCGCCAACTCCGCGCGCAGTTAAAGACCGTTTAACAAAACGACTTGCGGAAAAACAACGGGGAAAAATCGGGCGAAGATTAGAAAGTAGTGGCTCGGAATCGGAAGACAGCGAAGACTTGCCGATTTTCTCGGTAAAACGGACAAAGAAGTCATTAATTAAAAAGAAGCAGTCATTAACTACCACCCCCGATGAACCTATAGAGCGATCAGCAACAGCAATAACAGAAGTCGATGTTGGAAGTGACCAGGACACCATTCCGGCACGGGGCGGTGAGTTAGATCATCATCATCCAAGGGACCAAGGAACGTCCAATCCAGGGGACCAGTCGAAGTCTACCAATAGTAAGAAGAAGGGAGCCTCATCAAAGAAAGCCAGGCTGGTTTCATACAGCAGCCAGGGTGATAGCCAGGACGAGACCTCATCCACGACGTCTAGAAGAAGCGGGCGCAAGAGAACTGCGGTCACCAAAATGGGGGGAGTAATGATTGATTTCATCAATCAAAATAAGGAGGGAAACAAGTGACCAACATCAACAAATAGTAAATTTTCGTTCAAACTGTTCTAACCCAGGGAGAGGGGAAGTCATTAGTGACCCAAAACTCAATTGGTATCACTGCTCAGTGATCGTTTTTAGTTGTTAAAAATTTCGTCATTATAAGGTCTAAATTTGCATCCAAACATGAAGCTAGTCATTCTTTTCAATCATTCATGATCAATCGTTTCAGTCATTTAAAATCAACAGGTGAAATCATTTCTATTCAATTAAAGTTTCATTATCGAAGGGGAAGTGTTGTATAGAGTAATTTAGTTCATTTCGGAAGCTGTCAATCAAATGTTCTTTCTCGGTGCTAGACTAATTGATTAGCAGGTGTTTGTCCTTGGAACAGTCTGTCACCCTTGGATTGTGTTCTCAACCACTTTCTATGCTAACTTTGTAAGATTAAGTTGACTATCTCCTGTATCGGAATTAACAATTAGACGACTATCGTTTTACCATTTCAACAGTTGTTTTGTATTTCTGAGAGTTTAGCTCTCAAAATTATGCTAGTTGATACTTTCAAAGGCAACGAGACTTCTGTACTTGTTGTTCCGACCACTTAAAAAGGGGGAGGAATTTTGTATCAGGGTGTGTTTTATTTTTTATTTTTTTTTCCATGCTGTATCAACTACCAAAACTAATTATCGGAGAGACAGACCTTTAACAAAATTCAAATAATTTTTCTAGTGTCGATAAAAAACAGTTTGAAATTTTTGGTTGTTCATCTTAATTCGAGCAAGCTGGCTTACAATAGCTTGTTTTAATGGCTTAAAAGCTTAGAAAAGTTTAATTTAAAACGTAAAAATGTATTTTTAATCGAGTAAAACTAATTTTTCCGAGTTTTTTAGCGCCATTTTGGAATTAAAAACTTTGAAATTTCGTTCTGATTTTTTTCTCATTTTTCTTGTCATTTTCCATCAAAAATTGTTTTTCAGTTTGCTTACTATAGTATGACTTGTCTTTAACAAGTATGCATAATCTCTAGTATGTTTTTATCACACGATGCGAAACAAAACGACACTAATTTGAAAAAAAAAATTTTAATGTATTTTTAAGGCCATGGTTGGAACATTCTGTGCTCCTTTCGATCTTATGACAATGCTGGACGAAGGGTCCCCAATTTACTTGTATGGGGAACTGTTTATTATAAAGGATTCATACAACTTTCTGTACATATGGAACTATTTGGAACTGTATCACAAAAAAAGTTTTGACTCATGGATTTTGTAAGATTAGAAGATTTGATCAACCCAGGCTTTTTTGCGTCTTAAAATACGGAAAAACTATTTTTAAGAAAAACTAATTTATTTCAGTCGATAAGGCTGATATCTACATCCAATAACATAATCTTTGAAAATAAACGATTTTCTTCAATTTGAAGTCAAATTTTAGGAGAAAGCATTCTCTATCATTTGGTCGCGATGATAATCAGGTCTCTTGATTTCACAAAATTTGAAGCATGAAGCAGCTCAAAAATCCAGAAACTACAATTTGGTCAACTATTTGTGCTCAAATAAATTTTCTGCAAATATATTGGTGGAAGGGCATATACTACACTAGAGAAATCCGCACTTATAAATTTTTCAGACTCGGCGTGAAAAGTTTTGGATTCGGTTTCAAGTCGTCGGTGCTGTCTGGTGGAGATTCGGAACACGCGGTGTCAGCCGAGTTCGCGTTTCTTCCGGTCGGCGGCCGAGACTGACTAAACTTCCGATGTTCGGTGGGTTGGACTTTATTAGTGAGTGTAATACGACAGTTTTGAGAAACTGCTAACTCATCGTTTGAAAAATGCTCAAAGTTTGTCGTGTATTGGAATCGCAATGGGGGTCGGGTGTGGTCGCCCATTCGGCTCGGGTTTTCTTCCACCGAGAGAACAGAGTCGTCTCGTGTCATCACTTCCATTGAGGCTTGCTTCTAAATCAGTTTCAAAAAATGATTGAAGATAATTCATTGAAGAGAACGAAAATACGAGCTATTCAGATTTTTGGCGTGTTTGGTGCATCGTCTCTAGCTTAGATCATCTACATGCAACATTTCTTGTTTCTTTCCTGGCCTGTGAAATGATGTCTTGCCCTCAAATAGTAGACCATCAACCTTTTAACATGAAAAAGCTTGAAACATTTACCACAGCTGGAAAACTACCATAGAAATTCATGCATTTTTCTGCAGAAGCCGATTTTTGTTTTATTATTCTGAAAGAATAAATCTCGAGTATTCAGCTTGTAACAATGAAGATTTGAAAAAGCCTTCTATGCAGGCATAAATGGGAAAAACAAGCGTTTCAGTTGCTTTTGGACGAGAAACATTCGTAAAGATGAAACCCGTCTCCAGTAAAATTTATCTATCATGCGCTGTAATGGTAATGATAATCGTTGTAAGAATGGTTCGAATATTTTACATTTACGTCCAGTAAGCACGAATACTGTAAACAACGAAAAAATTATTAGAACAATTTTTTTCGAAAATGTGCAAGTAAGAACAGATTTCACTCACTCGAGTTCGTGCAGAAATCAAGCCTGGAACGGACTTTTGGTCGGCCTGAAACATCAAATCGAAGTGTTGTTTTACAGATCATTCAATTTATTGACTTCTTATAAGTCAGCTGGATGTTGTTAACTTTTTACCCCACCCTTTTGCAAGGTTGGGCGGGGGGGTGTCGTTACAAGGTACAGAAATAACATATGCTTAGCCGTTGAATTCGTTTTTTACAGGGGTTGCAATTATTAGTTAAATACATCCAAAAAACCCTTGAAAAAAAAGTCATCTTACCATTCCGATGAGTTTTCTTGTATAAATTTGCTCCTCGTTCTTGAGTTTCTTTGAAGCGTTTCGAGTCTGAAACATTTAATTGCAAAATGTTGCGTAAAAACAAAGCAACAAACCTGAAACTCAAATATAGCCATCTGTGATCAGAAACTTCTAACGTGTTTAAATTGTTCTGACCGCTGGAATTGAGGACCAACTTTGTCTTTGTGTGTTTCTAATTCTTTTCGTTTTACTTTTAAAACTTTTTTCCGCGCAAAAGTAAAATTAATAATCAGATTGGTTCAAGTGATATATCTGTAGATGTTTAAATAACTTTTACCATCGAATATGTTTATGTTCTATCTAAGCTTTCATTCAGATCGTCTCATCGCATAACGAACAAAATCGACAAAAATTGACCGCAACCGGCTATATGGTTCTTATTTTATTTCGAACCCATTGTCTAAACTTGAAAAGTCAGCTTGAGAAATTGTTGGGAAATATCAAAACCTACGGACAATTCGATGTTGTTCTTATCATTTGAAATTATTGAACCGACTTCCTATTTCCTAGGTTTTTGCGTCTGTAAAAGGTAGGAGTAATGGGAAACTAGACTTCCGTTGCCTGGGTAGGGTTATTTGAGATCGCCTTGGTTAAGTTTAAGTTCTTCTGTTTCCTTTTACAACTATCAGCTCCCGTTCATCCGGTCGTGAAGATCAAAGTTTCAGGGTAAAAAGATCAAGTTCAATTTTCGACTTAATTTTTAAAAAATTCTTATAGATTTCAACATGTTAACTTGCAATAGCTTTGAAACATCATGATCTATGTTCCCCGTTTCTATTAGATTTTTCAGTTAAACAATAATTTCGCATTTTATATGGGCTGCCAATAAAAAAAACCGTATGTCCGACGAGTAACTTTTAGGTGTAATAAATTTATTTACGTTTTTTTGTTAGTTTTTTTAGAAAAAACTCTTAATTCCGAAATTTTTTTATCAAAAGTTTGGTGCTACCTTGGCGATAGCGAGTATCCCAAACCCGACATTCCAGAGGAAATAAACGAGAGCAAGTGTGGACACAGTCCATACATCCAGATGCCAGAAGAACTCCTCCCTCTCTTCGCCCTCGAGGTCACTGGTCCTGAAGACTAAATGAAGCACGGAGAATGCCACCACCAGAACTGTCAGCATAAGAATTGCAAACAGCACGTAGAAATCCTGCAAACAATTGTTGCATCTTGCTTTGAAACATCCCAAATCAATTTTCCAATCAGGGTTTACATTTAACAATTTTAAATAGTTTTGCAGGCTTAATCAGAGCATCACAGGAGGTATGATTGGTATAACCACTCTAGAAAGGCAATTTTTTCTATATTCAGATTCAAAAAAGCTATTATTTTTTTCTTAGGTTGATTAACCCACTTTCAGGTTATCAAAACTCTCATAAACTTTTGAAGAGTGTGCCAATTTTTAAAAATTAGCTTAAAAAGGCAGCAATTAGAGACCTTTTATACCCTTCCTAAAGTTTGTTGGGCTACGTAAGGGGCTCACTTTGCTATAATTTTGTCTGTGAGCGACTGCGTATTTTTGGCATAATTTTTGATTAACTAAGAAAAGCCAAAATGACCCAATTTTTGAGTAACATTTTGGGCCCGAATTTCGCAAAACAAATCACATCATATTAATTCAGCTAACATTTTAGGCAAGTTTTGTCTTCATCAGTTTTCAGCTAAACTCAACCCAAATTGAGAAAAACGCGTTTTAAATTTCAAGTTAATTCGTTTTGTCCGGTTAATTTAAATCAGCACTGTATACCAAGTGAGCAATCTCCCCCCTAAAATTTAATGAAAAATTCAAGTGATAAATCCTGCAGCTATTATGCTCAAACCTGATCCGCTGAAATATATTACTTTTAACGAAGTGAACGGTCTAATTCCTAAATTGATATAGAGGGGAGATTGTTCACTTGTTTCTCATACTTTGCTTATTGATATGGTTTTTAAGGGTTTGTGTTGACACAGCTCTGTGCTTGCTCCATCTGACGAAGAAAATGGCAAATTATAAGACCCGTTTTTTTTGGTCAAATTTAAAACTTTTTACTAACTCAATCCTAATTTCAACATCCTATGAAACATTTTAACATCCGGCTTAGAAATTGTTCTAAATTGAAGTGAGGCAAGCTATTTGAGTTTAATGTTCTGATTTTTGAAGATCAGATGGATTGCTTTCGCTATGCGCTTGGTGTGTTTTTTTTTCTTCAGACAAATTTAGAATTATTAACTAGTCACTTTTGATTAGAACTTCTTTTATCAAATAGAAAGTATTGACACTCTGAGCTCAATATTCAATTTGTATTCATCTTATTTTACACATTACTTGGAAGTTACCGGGTTTTATAAAGTGCTAACTAGGCCAATTTAAGTCTGTTAAAGCGCAATATGTTCTGTTAAAGCACAAGTTATGTGCAAATAACGCGGCGTAAGCGGTGTTTTCACCACGCTCTGAAATTGTTCCAAATATGCATTATGCATGAGGCAAGCTTTTGGATCTCAATCAAACGTTTTAGGACCTTAAATTTTAAAGACCTTCACTTTGAACTTTTTAGGACCTCCACGAGTGGGGGAAACATTTTAAAAAATGTGGAAAAAAATTCCAATTGTTTCCATTTTTTTTGAAATATCATCAATTTTTATATTTTGAACAAAAATTTTTTTTATAGGAGCAGCCAGAGTTCTTATAAATTTGCACTGTTGTATGAAATTTTGCTCACACAATTATTCATCCCAACTCTCATTATCTAATAAAAAACAACCGATTTAAAACACGGATAAACAGTGCAAATGGGCAAACTGGTGGTTCGTATGACCACAAAAATTAGCAAAAACCCATCACACTCGGCATAATATTCAAGGCGACAATAGTTTTTGCAGGACTCAATCATTTCAAAAAGCAACCTTTTGTCACACAGAAACTTAACAAAGAAAACTAACTTAAAAAAAGTACTCCCGCAATACACAGCAATTGAAAAGCTATACACGTAGGCGAGAGATTTGATATGGAACTTTCACGGAACTAATAAACTTTATCAAGTTGGTTGGTGACGATTATCGCTTTCTACGAACTGTCGTCATAACTTTTTTTAATTGCGAGCTTAAGAAATTTTTGCTACAAAAAAGGATCAAATTAAGTAGTTTGAGCAGAAGGCCAAAAACTGGTTTACTTGCCGACGATAATTATAGTTTATTCTTGTTTCATCATTCTGATTGAAAAAAGATAGTTAGACGTATTTATCATTCGGAATTAGTTTCACCCAGCTCTATTGTACTAAATCAAATATGTTTATATGTGCCCACTCAAAAAACATTTGTTAAAAAAAACTTTCTCAGATAATTAGTTTGAAAGTAACTACTTGAATTGTTTCGACTATTGAAAATTAAATTAAAATCAATTCCGTAATATTTCAAGATTCAAATCGTTTTCCAGCTGTTATTAAAGCTAGAAACCAAATAGGAGTAACTATACAGGACAAAAAAAACAGGAGTACCAAATAGTGTAAGAATTACTTTTTGAAATTGTGTTATGGTAAAATACGATATAGAAAAAAAATAACGCAAATAAATTATTCAAAATAAACGTGCGGTAATGCACTTTTTGGTATAAGCTCACTGATGTCTTTATGAATAAATAAAATTCAATATTAAAAATTTAATGGCTATAAATTGAAACATTACTGCTCGTCTCGGGGCAAAACTTTGAGTTTTCCGACTACCATTTGAGGTTCTTGGTATTGAATCTCCACTCATTAAATACGACGGATTAAATAAATAATATCGAATAAATTCTAAGTTTTTTTGTGATTTTATTAAGCAATTTAAATCCCCACACATTAGAGGAAAAACAAAGTGATAAATTTTGCATAGAGTAAAGTATTAATTACACCAAATACCATGCCTCAATTTGAATTGACTTATAAGACGGAATGAATGCCCACTTTCGCCTCAATAGTGTGTATTTGATTGCGCGTTATTTGGCCCCAGTTGATAAAATTGACAATCATAACAAAATTGAAAACCCACAACAAAATCAAATATAATCACAGGTGAAATATCTTTTCAAATTTGAGCTGATGACAACATCATTTTTCGAATGATAATAATATATGTGGAACATTGCTAGTCAAAAAGGCAAAATTTGTCTTGTAAAAACATATTGAGTTCAGATATTCAGTCTCTTTCTTCGAAATCTGGAAGAAAAAAACGCTATCATATTATCACAATTTGAGTTTTTTGACGATTTAATGTTTATTTTGTTGTTTCTTGGCTGTTTTTCCAAACTTTACAATAAATCGTAATTTTAACATCTAGTTCCCATAAGAAATAAAAATGAAAATAAAAAAAATTTTAAGAACGGGTAATTGGTTTATACAGACTTAGTTTCAAACTTTATTAGTACAATCTAAAAAATTTTACTTTTGAACTGTTGCTTTTAAAATAAAGTTTTTCATTCAGTTTCTGTAAGAACTTTTCACAGTTAGTTAAATATGATTTTGTATAAAAACCTAATCTATATTAAATTTGTAATTTCAATGTTTAGAATTTAGAATTTAACGCGTCGTGCAGATACAGTAATATGTTACATGAGTAAGCGGGTTGAGTGCAAAACGTAGATTGAGGTTTTTCTTTTCGAAATTTCTTTTTCATCATTAAAACACGGATAAATTGTACAGAAAACAGCTGGGAAATCAATAGTGAGCTGAAAAACGTCAAATTTATTATGATTTATTCGACTTTCAAAGAAAGTGGCTGAATATTTGTACGCCGTAGAAATACTCAGGCACTCTCTTTGAAGGTCGGAATAATAATAACAAGAATGCTCGTATCAGAGGGAAGCCCTGAATGTTTCGACTGCCTTTTAAGGTTTATGGAGCAATTATAAAATTAAAAAATTAAATGAAATTTTAAAAAAAATGAAAAAAGTTTTTTTTCTAAAATTTTTTATGAAAATCATCCCCCCACACGCCATATACCGCACAAAAGAATCTAATTTGCTCCTTGCAGCAAACAAATTATGACAAATAGGCTTCTTTCAACCAATTTGGAGCGATTTTTAAGATTGTTAGATTTTTTGATCCGAGGCCAAAATTTTGAAAAACAGAACAAAAAGCGTTTTTAGGAACTTTTTGGAAAATTCTGACCAAAAAAATTGCTTGTTTTGGCGCGAGCTCCCCCTCAAAGTCAGTATATATTCGCGCCGAAGGTGCCTTTCGAAAGTGTTTAATGGTCTGTCACCAAATATGGATATATCAAAATGGTGCAAAGGGGGAACCCTTTGTGTCGGCAGGGGGTCGAATCCCTGAGAAAGGGAGCGTCCGCCTCGCTCCCCCCCTTAATCCGCCCCTGAGGTATACTATTTGTTAATTATTAATACTTTGCTACTGGCGAAATATATAATTTTGTATTTAACACAGCTTTAAAAAATTTCTAATATTTTAAGATAACCAATATGTCTTCAGGAAAAATTATAAGACTAAAAATAACTCTGCATTTCACTCCGTTTTGATTTGGTTATTCTAATGGCAATTATAATCTTAGGAGCTGAAAATAACTGTTTTATCATTCTTAATAAGCAGAAACATATCCACACATGATGAGGGGACGAAGGGGGTTGATTACTTTGGTGACTTACGACGAGTGTGAGATAGGAGATGGTTGGCAATGTATTGGACAGCATCAGTTTGTAGGCCACACTGGTCAATACCAGAGTCAGGGTCCCACTCACTCGAAACTGCACGTGTTCTGGTCTGTTGGTGAAGTTGCACAGGGACATGACCGCAAAGAAGAACTAAACAGAACACTTACAGACGACTTGTGTGCAACTATCGCAGATTCTCTGCAAAAGTGACACATTTTTTTCGCAAATTATCAAAACCTCTCTAGAAGGGGCTGAATTTAAAGAACTAGTCTCTACATATTAATTTACGTATAAAAATTACGTAACTCTCTTTAAAATGTTTTTTTTTTCATGTACTTGGCTTAGCGCCTGTACAAACAGTCGTTTTCTTGCGGTGTCTTACAACTTGTTCACTAAAAGACTAGAAAGTTGACATATCAATTGTGAAAGTTTAACAAGACAGCCCGTATCAAGTTTTTGCTAAAACCGATCATTTTCACTCATTTTTTTTTTGAAATTATCAGTTTCTTTTGCAGACCCTCCACTTTATGTTATTCAAGTAGAAAAGCGTTACTTGGACCAATTATCTTGTCTCAATGGAAGTTGGAATGATTTTTTGAGCGGATTAGTATGCTGATAATGCTGCTACACAGGGGCAGATCTAGGATTTCTCGAGGGGAGGATATAAGTATGCTGTTAATGCTGCTACACAGGGGCAGATCTAGGATTTCTCGAGGGGAGGGGGTGGATTTTCAAAAAATTGTCGGAAATTTTGACGACCTTTTTTTTCGTTCGACCAAATTGATTTTCCGAGCTCTCGTAAAGCACTAAAAATACGCTATTTTGGTCAAAGTTTCTTCGCCGAGGGCAAATTTTTGAAAAAACAGGTCAAAAATCCGTTTGACAAAAATTTGCGTTTTTTTTGAAAAAAAATTGCGTTTTTTTGGCGCGCGCTCCCCCTCAAAGTTAGTATATATTGGCACCTAAGGCGCCTTTAGAAAAACTTTATTGTCGGTTGGCCAAAAATGGTTTTCTTAAAAAGTAACAAAAGGGGGACCCTTTGGGTCGACAGGGGGTCAAACATCTGGGGGGAGGAGGCGTTTGACCCCATACCCCCCCGGCTCCCCCCTAAATCCGCCCCTGCTGCCCTGCTGCTACACATAACAAACAACTAGTAAGAAACACGTAATAATGATCCCAAATTGGCCTAAATGCAATTTTCGAACCCCATTTTTTGCGAAAAGTGCTTTACGGTTAAATACCTTTTTAACTTCAAGCTCATGGCATCGACGTTTTTTTTAAAGTTTTATTTTCAGACGGTTTTTAAAATTGTCAAAATTTAGTAGTTTAAAGTTCAAAACTTTTCTGGAGAACCCGTACCCAACGAATGCTATTTTTCAAGATAGAATTGTTATGTTGATTACCTAGCCGAATTTTGTCATATTTTCTATACAGAATTGATCTATTTTTTTTTAAAGTTTAGAAATGAATAATTTTTGAAAAGAATTAATCAGAAACCAGCTTACTGCTCAACAGTAACGATAAAAACATGTTTCGATTATGCACAAGAGCCAAGGCAATACAATGCAAATTTAAAAAATTTAATAACCAGGAGAGTTTTTTAGCTAGAATTAGCCTAGATTTGACAAATTTCTCTTCAGAAAGAAAAGATGAGAAAAAAAAACAATTCTGAAAAAATCCCTGCTTTATTTAAACATTTCATAAAGAGATTCTGACCAGAAATTTAGATCAGTTATAAAAGGTTTCAGGTCTGAAATCAAGAGTTTTTTGGTACGGGAAATAACTACGTCGAGCAAAGTTTTCGTTAATTTTAATGAAAGTCAGAACATTAACATATTCAACCGGGTTGTAACAGAAGTTTTTGTTTCTTTTTTTTGTCATCTAGAACAATCTGGGTCGTTATTACAACCAAATGATGTAAAACTTTAGGAGTTAAAATTTGACCAAAAAAAATTTTCAGTGAAAAGCTGAGGATCTTGCCCAACTCATCATTTTTTTAATAAATATTCACAATTTGAAAAAAAAAATTTTTTTTTGCCATGTTTTGAAGTTAAATCAGATAATGGGAACTTACTAAAAACAAATGAAACTGGACGTTATTATTTTTGAAAAAGTAGCTCAAATTGAAACCGTTTTTTTTTTAGGGAAGCAACTACAAGAAGGCGCATTTATGTGGCACTATCTTGATTGTTTTGATTGCATGTTGGTTTCTTAACTCACGTAAAAATAATGACCAAGTTATTGTTTCATACACTAAGTAGGCATAACACTTGATTTCAGTTGTTTTCTTACGCCATTTCACGGAACATAACTAAACATCAGATAATGTCCGTCTCTGTACCATAATCAGAGCCATATGTCTTAAATTGAGCTGCAAAGGATTTTCTGGGTTGACGAAGAAAAACAGGTTTCCAGTGAAATTTAGAGAGACGAGTTTCGTATGTACGGAAACAAGAGTGCTCGTATCAAAGCGAAGCCTTGAAATTCCGACTGCCATTTAGTCTCAAATAGTTTTTGGTAAAGTAACTATGGGCAAAACTATGAGTTGAAGGCTGATCATATTAAAAATTAAGTGTTAAAATTTAAATCGTGTATCGAATTAATAAAACCAGTTACTTGCCTCAATTCAATTTGGAACGATTTTATAGTGCGGGATAAATTGCCTGGCGCGTAAATTTTCATGTACAATGGCCCTTTCTGTGCTATCGGCCCGTGCAGATCAAGAGATCGATACCCCGTGCGACCAGCGTTTTGTAAAACTGGTCTGAATAAAAAGCCACCCCAAGCATATGTATTCCTTGATTTCTTCAAAAAAAGTTTTACAATCACGGGAGAGAGAGTTTGCATCTTTTAATTTTGAAATAATGAAATTAGGCAAACGTTTTTTTCCCGTTTTTGAAGTTTCTTGGATGCATTTTTGGATGCATTTTGATTAGAATGAAGCCAATTATTTTAAAGATTAATTTTTAAACTACTTCTTGAAAATTCAATTTTATATTTGACTTCAAGACATCAATTAGTTTTCTTTGTGACTTGCATAGTTTCGCCATTATCTGTTTTTTGATGGTCAATAATATTTTATGGAACTTTGCAAGGCAAAAAATGTTTTGCAATTCATTTATTCACATGTAATGTCTATACATATATTTTTCTTCTTAACTGAATCATTTCAAGCCAATGTATAATTAATTAGCTGTCTTCTTTTATCTTTTTGAATTGATCAATCCTTAATTTATTTAAGTCAACTTTCTTTTGCTGTCTTTTTTTCCAATTTTGCTAGTTTTTTTTTCGTTACTTTTTTCATTTCATTTCTTTTGAAGTTTACTGGGTGAATGCGAAATTAATTCATCAGGTGCCTAAAAACCTAAAAATTAGCCCAAAAAATTAGGATGAAAGTAATCGGGTCAATAAACAGCAGGAAGAAACAGGGTCATTTAGTTTTGACGGATCTAGGTCTCGAAACTTTTCATCACTGCAAAAACAATGGGTAGCTATACTTCCGAAAGTGTCATTTTTATCAGAACTAATACTTCCATCAATGTCTCAAATATCATGAGTCCCCATTATTGGAAGAATGGAATGAAGATAGATTAAACAAAAGCATTCACTTTTTGTCAGGCCATTACTTTGCAATTTAATTTTCTCGTCTTCCTCAAATAAAAAACAACAACTTATTCCACATTTTGACTTGAAATTCAAAGCATGCAATAACGTTTCTAATCTAATTAGTATTTTTTTTTAAACCATCCGAGACTACGTCGACGCAAATTTGAACGATATAACAGGAGAGTAATTTGCCACAGCCAGGTTTCGATTTTTTTTCTACCTTTTCTCCAGACAAATTTTGACTTTTCAAAAAGTAATTTTTTTTTGAAAAAAGTTTTTTTATACGGTCTGAGCGATATTGCCTCCAAAGGCTTATAACTGAAAAGATATTTTACATGGGGTCATTTTCCCGCAAAATTACAGGTAATTCAATTTGGGGCTACGACTTGTAAGGATATAGTAGGGATAACTAACTGCGATATATTTTGTCCTTTTAAAGTTTAAAAAAGTGTAAATATCAAAATGAATTAAATCAATTGAACTGAAGATGGCAATTTGCTCTTTTTAATTAAAAAACAGACGTAAAATAAATCATTTTGTACTTAAAAAGCGTGTTAGAAGATAATAATGGTTTAATAAAATATTTTCATATTTTTGACAAAGAAAAAAAAAATTTGAATCAAGAAAACTTTTTTATTGACTCTAGGGGCAATCGGAGGATTCATGTTTTTGCCCTGATACGAGCAGTTTTCATAGGTTGAGTATAATTTGGCACCAAATTTCCAAAAACTTAGTCAACGTCGAGAAAAAAATCACAATATAGCTATTTTTCAAACCAAACATTAATTTGATCAAAACTTAAAAAAAATTTCACAATCTCAACGGAACACCATAATAGTTATTGATAACACTGCTTCAATCTCGGACCAAATGGGTGAAACTAAAAATCAGCCAATCAGTCAATAACATCAAAGTTTAAATGTTGCAATTAGAGTCGTGCGTGGAGTTATTAAAACCAATTAGCTGCCTCAGTTGATTTTGGAACGAAATTGTAACTGGGGATAAAAAACAAACAGTGATAGACATACTCACGGCACGATTTTATAGTGGTGTATGGGGCTAGCACTCTTACCAGACCGACCTTTTACCAGACCACAATGCAATAATTCAATTAAGATAAATTTAAATTACTGGACGATTTGAAAAGGAAGCGGTTAGAACAAACAAACTTCGCTGAGAAACCGTGAAAACATTGCCTTTAACCAAAAAATTATGGCGCCATTACATCTGTCAATCCAATTTGTTTATCGAGTCTGGTAAAAGGTCCATGTTATAACTTTTGTGGTAAAAAGTCGGTCTGGTAAAAGGTCGGTCCCCGTGGTGTGCACACTCGGCTCGTCCCATGCTGATAAAGAAATTTATCTACCGAGGAACCAGAATTTTGTATAATTAGTGTGAATAAAAAAGCTCCCCGAGCAAATATAAGCCTCACGTTCCTCGAAAGTCGGAACAACAAGAGTCGCATGTGAATTTTCTTTTGAAGTTAAGACCATGCGTGATGATATAGTTCAAGTGCTATAAAAATCAAACAAAAACTAGGCGTTCTAATACCAAACAAGACTGCTCGTATCAGCGCGAAGCCCTGAATGTTCCGACTGCCTTTTAAGGTTTATGGAGCAGTAGTAACATTAGAAAAAAATTAAAAGTAAAAAAAATGAAAATTTTTTTTCTTCTAAAATTTGAAATTTTTTATGAAAATCATCCCCCCACACGCCATAAAAAGTGCAAAAGGATACATTTTGCTCCTTTTAACAAATCAATTATGGCGAATAAGCGTCTTTTAACCAATTTGGAATGATTTCTAAGACGGATTAACTCTCCGCTTACGCGTTAATAGCGCGAAATATATCGCGCGTTAATTGTCGCAAATTGGCCAAAATGGCAATCTTTAAACCCCCATAACTTAACAAAAAATGATCGCAGGTGAAATATCTTTTCAAATTTGAGCTCAAGACAACAATACCTTTCGAATGATAAAAAAAATTCCGTCAAAAATGGCTAGTTAAAAAGTCGAAATTTGTCTGAAGAAAAAAAAAACCCACCCCGAGCACAAATATTCCGTTACTTTCGTATCGAAAGTCGGAACAAAAATGTTTGAAGAAAAAGACAGAGTAGAAATGTTCTGTCAACTTCTTCCCAAGTAGGAGCAACAACACCGCTCGCATCGAGGCAAAGTTTTGATTGTTTCGACTGCTGGGTGGTTATGCACTAAACAGGGGCGGTTTTCTCATGACGGAGGGACCGAATGATGCAAAAATTTAAGCAATCAGAATTGTTAGACATTCCTATTATAGTTTGCGCAACATTTGCGCTGAGAAGGTGGTAATCCCCCCGAATCTGCCCGCCCCCCAACTCCACTAACTCCTGTTTGAAGAAGGGAGCAACTTTGGAGGGGGCTTGGGGCTGGGAGAGAGGAAAATAACTGAGGGGGGACACGTGGAGAGGGTGTATGTGCCGCGTGGTCTCAAACTGTAATGAAACTCGATTATAATGACAATGTTTTTTGACCAGGAAAGTTGATTATTTATTATCTACGGAACAAAGAAAGTTACAAAAATCATGCGCTAAAAAGTAGTAGTCGGATTTCTGTTGTTTAATAATTAAATGTGAGTTAACCTATTGGCCAACCAGATCTCTTAAAGGTATTCGGAACTTTCTTAGCTAACCGGCTGCAAAAAACCGAGTCTTTTTTCGTCCAATCAAAATTAATTTCATTTTAGCGACGAGGGTTGGCGGATTTTCAAAAAGTTTTCGAAACTTTTGTCGACTTTTTTCTAGGTTGACCAAAATGATTTCCCAATCTCTCCCAGAGCACTAAAAAGACCCTGTTTTGGCCAAATTTTGTGCGCCGCAGACAAATTTTGAAAGAACAGTCCAAAAAGGCAGTTTTAGGCAATTTTGAAATATATGATCAAAAAAACCCTTAAATTTTAGTATATATTGGCGCCGAAGACAACTTCAGAAAAGTTTTTGGGTCCGTCAGCCAAAAACGGATATTCCAAATTAGTAAAAAGGGGGGACCCTTTGGGTCGACAGGGGGTCGAATCCCTGAGGAAAGGTGCGTTCGACCCCCCTCCCTCCCTAAATCTGCCGTGCTATTGGGGCTTTTACTGCATTAGACCCCGACTGCTACAATGTGAACTTAAAATTTTCATTTGAAAAAAGTATATTCAACAAAAGTTTGTTTTTCAATTAATCAGTTTCTTAAACTTCCAACTAACACCAAGAAATTTACCTGAAATTTCAACCCTTTTCAACTTGTTTTAAGATCTTTGTGATATTTTTTTTGCGAATTAAGTACCGAATTAATTGCCAATTAATTTGCCTTACTTCAGCTAAGAGATATTTTAAGGGCAGAATGCTTACTGCTTACGGCCTTTAACTTCAAACTAAACTGGAATCAGTTTGAACAAAAACCTACCAATTAGCAACTTATAAACTGAAAACTTTAAAACGCCCTTATTAAACTCTTCAAGTTTAAATATCGCAGGTAAGTTCCTATTAACTTGTTTTTTAAGCATCGATATTTTCCATTTGGTATGCGGCTTCTAAAAGTCTAATAATTATTGGGTTTCTCAAATTCAGAAAAAAAACAATCCGAATTTAATATCATTTTACAATGTCCAAAAATGAAATATACAAAGAAATCTCTCATATCTATTTGCACAAGGCAAAGAACTCGCATTTCAAAAGTTTGGTTAAAATGCGAGTTCTACAGGTTGAAATGTCTGCCCAGTATATTGCCAAAGGGCACGAAATTCAACTGCCACAAACTAAAAAGCCTTGGTCATATTCGTGCAATGGGTTATTAATCAATTATGAAAATTAATTGAGAAAAGAATCATTTTACAGCATTTTCCTTCTAATTGTTGAAACGGAATGACTAATTTTGTTGAAAGATAAACTTCATTTAGAAATTACTCAGAAGCAAAACTTGATGCTTGATTAAATTTGAATCCGTTGAAAACAATACGAGGCCAAACTATGCATTTTGTGAATTGTAAGTGGAATCCGCAAGGGGCAAAAATCAGATTTGTCGCGGATTCCGCAAAAGGCTACTTTTCTTTGATCTTCTTTGATGTTTTGATTTCCATAAAAAAATTTTTTTTGTATAAATCTTGTTGAAAATTGAACAAGACTGCTGTTATTAAGGCAAAGCTCTGAAAGTTCCGACTGCCTTTTAAGGTTTTTAGAGCAGTGATAACATTAATAAAATAAATGTAAATAAATTTTTGTTATATTCATCCCCTCACACGCCCTATAAAGTACAAAGTCATAGATTTCGTTCCTAGTAACAAATGAATTATCGCAAATAAGCTTCCTTCAGCCAATTTGGAACGATTTCTAAGACGGAAAATAACACGCGTTAATTGACCCAAATTGGCCAAACTTAACAAAAACTAACCCCGTCAACCCCGTCAACTTAACAAAAACTACTCACACTTGAAAGAATTTTTCAAATTTAGGCTCAGGACAACATAACCCCTTGATTAATACAAAAAAAAATCCGTCAAAAATGGCTAGTTAAAAAGTCGAAATTTTTCAGAAGAAAAAAACTACCCGAGCAAAAATATTCCGTTATTTTCATTGCGAAAGGTGGAACAACAAAACTGCTCTTGTCAGGTCAAAACCCTGAATGTTCCGACTGTCTTTCTAGGTCTATGAAGCGGTATTAATTAAAAAAAACGATACTACTTGAAAAGAAACAAGAAAACTTTTGAGCTTTGCTAAATCATCGCCCCACACGCCATATAAAGTACAGAGTGATAAATTTTGCTCTTAGTAACATAAAAATTATGAGTATGACAATTTGGTTGTTTCAATCAATTTGGAACAGTTTCTATGAGGGAACAAATCTCCGCTTACGCGTTATTAGCGCGAAATATATCGTAAGTTAATTGTCTCAAATGGGCCATTTTGGCAATCTTTGGGCCCTAATATAATTTTTGATAAAGAATCACAGGTGAAATATCTTTTTAAATTTGGGCTCAAGAAAACAAAACCTTTTGACTGATATAAAAAAGTTTTCAAAAATTCCTACTTAAAAAGTTGAATTTGTCTGAAGAAAAAACGGAGGCTAGTCTCATGCGCGAAGGTCTGAATTGGTGAAAAAACTCTTGGGCGAAGGACCGAAAACAAAATTAGCCAAAAGTCAATTTTTGAAAAGGAGCAATTTCTATTCAATTAAAATGAATTAAATGAAGCAATATTTTGCTTCTTCCATAACAAAACCCTTGAAATATAAAATTTGTTCCAATTCGGCGTCGGCCAGTGAAAATTTAAAAGTTTTGCATTATTCTGCCGTTTTTATATTCGGTCAATATCAATATTCAGTCCCTGGAAATGTTTACTTTCTTTCCAAATTTTAGATTATGGAAAGCTGATTGGCTGTTTTTTACTTTCGCGCATTCTGTCCTTCGCGTATGAGGGATTCCACCGAAAAAAACCACCCCGAGCACATTTATTCCGTTACTTTCGTTAGGAAAGTCGGAACACAGGTTGATTATTCAAAAACTTAAGTCTGGAAAAACCTCAACGATCTCACGATGTCAAGGCAACATTAAGTGCGGAATAGTTTCATAAAATTTAAATGATTAAATTTGAGATCCCCGAATGACAAAAAACAGCCGACCAGTTTTTTTTGAGCAAATGATGAAAATTGAGAAACCCGAAAGTCACATTAACAAGCGCCATATGTTTTTAGAGAGCGCATTACTTCAGCCACGCTTGCAGAATAAAAATCAAAAGTGACCTTTTAAAAATTAAATTGAAACGCTTAATTAGAAAAATGAGTGTGTACGAATTTTAATTGTTTCCTCGAAAAAGAAAAGAAAAAACACCTACTAGATAAAATGGATGAAAGTTCACTTTTTGCTCATCAGCGCTAAAATGAACTTTGTTAAACTTTATCTTTTTTTCAACCAGGCCAAAATTTATAGTGGAAACGAGCCATTTTTTTGAAGACTTATCCGCATTTTTCGAGCCGTTTTTTGAAGTCTTATCCACTTCGCCTTCTGTTAACCATCACTCAAACATCTATAAATAGTTCAAACCATTCAAGCAGTAATAAATGAACAGTGGCTGAAGAAAACAGACCATGACTAGGAAGCAATTGTAGACGAAGTACTTGAACTTCCTCTGCACATTACATCTCAACACCAACACGTCATCACAGTTCCGCTGCTCTTCACTGTCCACGTTATTTTCCCCCGTCTAAAAATACAAATTTTGGGATTTTTCTTTGTTTATCCTCGCTCCCGAACTTTAAACTTCACGTTTAGTACAAATTAATTAGCCAAACTTTTAGTTTCAAAGTTTCAACTCTTTTTCCCCAAAAATCGTGTTAAATAACAATCTGCATCATAAAAGTGATTTATTTAGATTGAACACAGAAGAAACACATATTTTCGAAGCCAGTTTTGAATTTTAAATGAATTAAAGTTTAATATTTTATTGCGCCGGCTGAAAAGATTCTTGCATGCGACAGCCTTTGTACATCAAAGACTAATACTTTTGAAAACAGATGACGACGGAGGCATCATTCTTTATGCGTAGACGATTCGTTTCAACAGAATCGAAAAACAAAGATTTTTAGTTATTTTTTTTGTCTCAAGCTTCAAGAACAACATTGATCGAATCAGCAAAAATGCTGAGCAAAACTGAAAGCTATGATATGTTAGCACTATTTAAAAAGTGCTACAAGTCAATCAGATTACTCTATTTTCCGACACGCAAACCTAACACGCAAGAACACTGTTAAACTGAAAAATTAACTGAACAAATAACTGACCGTTTCTTCCCCCTCAATTCTGATTGCCAAAATTTTCCAAAGGGTCCCCCTTTGGTATAACTTTATGAAGTCCGTTTTTCGCTGAATAATCTCAAAATTTTTCTAAATACGGATTTGGCGCCAATGTGACTAATTTTTAGGAGGGAGCGCGCGCCAAAAAAAACGCAATTTTTTGGTCAATTTTTTTTTCAAAAAATGCCTAAAAACGCCGTTTTTGGCTCTGTTTTTGAAAAATTTGTCTGCGGCACTGAAAAATTTACACAAAATAGGGTCTTTATACTATTGTAGGGGAGCTCGGAAAACCAAATTGATCGACCTAAAAACAGGTCGACAAAATTTTCAAAATTTTTCAAAAAACTATACCCCCACCCCCTAGAAACATTTCTGCGCACGCCACTGCTGATGAACAAAAGAATAAATGTTTAAAATATTCGCAGGTCGTTTTGTCGTTTTTACATGACGTCTCAATGGATAAATCCCACAAAAATGACCCTGTACTCTGCAGTTTACAGACATTGTCAGAGAAAATTACAAACTTGTTTTTCCATACGACATATATAATTTTTTTCCAATGGCGTTGGATTTAAAATTTTTTGTTCGTGGTCTCTTCTTGATCTTTGATTTGAGATTTGGAAACAACAGCTATGGGAACAGCATTAAAGACAATCCAAACTATTTTTTATTGAACATAGAGATACAAGAAAAATCAAGCATTGCGCACAGCATGCTTTGCTCGAAAATTTTGAAATGAAAGGATTTTTTTGAAGTTTCAAAGTTCGACGAATCTGAAATGTTTTCTGCTGAAAAAAAAACAATAATTTTAAAAACTGTGTATAAAAAATTATTGGGTTTCCGTTTTAAAATAAATTTACAAATCCGCCCTGAAGTTAAGGTGAATAAAAAACTTCAACAATTTTGTTGCATTATTTTTCAGCTTTCATTTGATCAGAAAAGCAGACTTTAAGATTCATCACAACATGGTAATTAAAAAAAACTTGTGTTGCTGCAGTCTGCTTGCTGAAAGCTTTTGAAATTTTACAAAAAAATTACCCATAAAATTTTCTAGTTTTGAATTTCTATTCGTGAAATTAGCGCAAAAATGCAGATAATGACTCTTCCACGAAGAGCGAATAATATTCACGTTTCTTTGCGGGTTAATTTCAACCCCCTCGCACTCCTCCATCGCCGCATGGATCTTTTGAGCAGAATGATATATGCGTAAGAAAACTCTACTCGTGCCTGGTCAAAAACGGCATCATTTGCGCTTTCAACTGGAGACTTGTAAAACGTGGAGCACATTTTTGTTAGAAAACTAGGAGCCGCGGCGTAACGTTTCTTAGTTCTAGTTAACAAAAAAGTTCCTCTTCAGTTTTATTACAACTACAGGAGTGTGATGCAACTTTTAAAAAAAAACTCCATTTATGGAGCGTAGCTTATATTTAAATTTGGAGTAGTTCAGTTTTTTTTAGTGTTATATAGTTTAGGAGTTGTATGAGTGAAGTAAGGGTCAGACGTCGACTCACCAGTACCATCTTGTATAACACCCACTCCTGGTGGTCTTGGAAAGCCTTCTCGTTCAGGAGTCCCGGGATGTCCTCCGCCTCTAGGTAGAAATGCTCTTTGCTCCTGTCGTCTAGATGCAGACGCACACAAAGGTCCTGCCAGAAATCAGAAACACAAACTATAGCACTTATGTTAAAAACTGTAAAAAAAAAATGAAATATAATAAATATTTTTATATAGCTCGTCAGGAACAATTCACTGATCACCTGGTCTCTTTGTTATTTAAATAGCCCACCTGGACGTCAAAGGGGAAGTCCTGCAGCTCCATCTGTTCGTGGAAGGTGCCCTTCAGATGCCAGCGGAGGTCAATGCGTAACATGTTATCTCTGTGGTTCACTGCAAATCTGAAACTGCTGCCGCTCAAACATATGGCTATACTCCGACCACGGACCACGACCGCAACAATAGACTTCACCAAAAGAATAATTGTAACATTATGCAAAATGAGCCGCTGAAAAAGCGCCCAAGATTTGAAAGGTTTTCAGCGGTTTGTTTTGAAAAATCGCTCAAGAACCGCTCATATATTGCTTGAAAAACAGCTCAAACCTCGCATCTTGAAGCAAGATTTTGAGCGTAATTGGCTAAAAACTGCTCAAACTGCTCTAATCTTTCTTGAAACTTAGCAGAATCTCCCCCATAATTTTTCAAAAAACCGCCCACCCCCATAGAAAAACTTCTGCGCACGCCACTATTGCTTGCGTAGAGAAAGCGCAATAGTCTTAGAAGCTCCAATTATGTTCGTTTCCCAAACTGATTTCACCTTTCTTTTCTGTCCTTTTGAAGTAAGTATCTTTTCTGATATTGAATCTTTTGGTATATTTAAATATCTTTATTACACTGAAAATATTAATCTTCTTAATTATCCTTGATATTTTGAATTAATTGGTTAATATTTGAAGGACTTGAGCCTTATTTTTATTCACCACTCACCTGTACATGGACTTCTCTGATTTGGTGTCCTCTAGATTCAACACCAGCAACTTAGGAATGAACTCCTCGAACCTCTTCAGCTCCACTTCGTTCTAGAACATTCCCAAACATTCTCAACTTTAAATTATTTACGGCAACTAATCGAGGGATAATATAGGGGAGTGAGATGTTAGAAAAATGTCAAAGCAAGTTTTTGATTTTCTGGTTTCGAGAGATTCAGAACAAATAATTCTGACACAGAAAGAAGCTGAAATTTTTTCTAAGCACATAAACTTGGATAAATAAGCTTCAGTCTGGCGTTATACTAATTTTGGCCACCAGGGATGTCAAAAACGTCTAAAAACACACCACATTAGTTATGCAGTAAAAATTAAATCAGTATACAACTTAACACTGAGTGTTTTTTAAAGCACGAGTGACTAAAAAAAGCGAGTTTCCGTTTTATCAATTAACTTAAGAAAGATAGGATAATTTTATCCGTAAAAAACACTTATCTCATACCATCTGGAAACCCATCTGCTTTTCGTGTTCGTGTATGGAAATGAATGTGTTCACACTCTCTCTCGGAGGCAGCAGGGGGATGTCCCAGATGGCTCTGATCTCAACTGTTGCCGAGAACGTCTGGTGCTTCGTGTCCACGTGACCTGAAGTCAGATGTGTCAGCATTTTGTCCCAACTTGAATCAGTAGCTCATGGTTATTGTAAAGCTAGCAGCTTCTCAGCTAAGAAAGCCTTGCACTCGGAGCGATCAGAATAACCTCCAGTCTTTAAAGGTCATTTTTGAAAAGCTGTTTTCAGAGCCAGTAAAAATCAAAAAACTTTCAGAGCCAGCAAAATCAAAAAATCAAAAACTGATTTTTTTTGCTCGTTGTTCTCTTGTCAAAACTTCATAGCGCTACTCTGACTTTCTTATATTCTCAGGCCTCTAGCCTAATAGATTGCAAAATATATAAGCCGGTTGCTGCTCGATTGACGTCGCATAACAAACTACCCGCATCAAAGTTTCTCGGATAAAAATAGGTTACATTGAGCAAAGCTTGCAAAACTAAAAAATGTTGCCATTATCACCAATTCGAGCAAAAATTCCTATTAGAGAAGTTTGAAAAAGATTATATTCTCATGAACTATATTGCTTTTTTATTCCTCGCAAATCTATATAATTTGAAGGAAATCTACTGTTTTTCCCATATAATCTCAGTAACCATTTTTGTCTCCATAGAATCCTCAGAAAATGTATTTGAAAATAGGACGCACTGAAAGCATGAACGTATAATTTTAAACTTAAGTATAAAAATCAAACTCTTTGGAAAAAATTGAAAACAGGACTCACAGGAATCATGAACATATTTTTTAATTTTAAGAAAAAATCAGTGAAAAACTCAAAATTTGCTAAAAATTTGTTTGCTGATAAATTTAAGGTACCGAAAAATCTAAGCCATCAAAACAGAAATAAGCAAACAAATAAAAAAACAAGAGCAACAAAAAATGTCACCATGAATTATTCAAAAATCTGTTTTCTAGGTAAAAAATTCATTGTTGCTAGAAGTTTGTTTAATGAATTCCTAATGGTTGAACTTTCAAATCAATCTAAGATAAATAAAAAGGCATTAGCAAAAAATTCGTTCTGAAACAAGAGCAGTAAGAAAGCGATCATGAATTAACTAAAAACCGCCAGTAGAAAAAATTCCCGATGATTTTGAGTTATATAACAATCTAGGTGAGTTTAAGTCCGCGGTGGCTCACTCATAGAAAAATCATAGTAATTTCAGATACGGTACACCGTCTGTTCGCCACGCAATCTTTTTTTTTGGCCGGATAGATACCGATCTTAATCATACTCTAATATCTCCAGGTCTCAATAGACCTAGCGTTTACTGGTATTTGCGATATTAGATATCAGGAACTGTTCTGGAGAAGAGCATCTGTTTGCTAAGTTATATTTATTTTGATCTGGTTGGAACTATAAATACTTTAAACCTTACAAATTGTTGCAAGTGTTAGTTATGGATGATGATTGGTTAGTTCTAAGTATTTTACAGAGATAGTTTAACAAGAATATAAAAGATTAAAACAAATAGTTGTTTTGAACTCGTTCCATAAGGCAAACAGCAAACAATTGAGGAAAAAATGTACCATGAATGCAAAATACGCTAATATTTTGGAAACAGAGGAATAAAAATTTAGAAATGTAGTGTTTTTAATAAACTTGATTAAAGTTTGCAACTCATCAGTAATAAGGTTGTATTGAAGCAGTGATTTTTTGTAGCCTCATTGTAGAAAATTATGATTTGAAGTAGTCATATTTTATTGCAAACAAATGGGGGAAAATTCCATTTTCATTGTATGTTTTTTTTGAAAAAATATTTTTTAGCTGAGCTATAGGAAGAAAAAAAAATAAATCAGGGTGCCGGGCATCAAGCCGACGGGATTTCAAACCAAATTCTAAATTTAGGGTATTCAAGCCAAAAGTTTTCATATCAAATCAAGAAACATGCTTATTTGGAAAACTTTTTCAAAGAGTTTTCAGTTTCATGATCTTTCTTCAGTAGTTATTGACCTTTTCTTAAAATTTAAGCCTCCAAACGATGTTTGGGAAAGTTTATGTTTAGGAAGGTTGAAGGCATTTTTCTTGTTTATAGTTTTTGCATTTTAAAAACCGCAGATATTTTTAACGGATGCAAATCCGAAGTGATTAATTGACATGAATGACGATTATTATGGACTAAACTAGCCTAAACTTTTTAAAAGCAACGTTTTACAGATGAAAAATAGTGATTTGAGTTTCTTGTAAAGTTTAATTTTGGGCCCAAAGTCCATTCGGCTTGTTGCCCTAGACCCAATAAATCATATAACTATTTCATGGATAACAAACTTCATTGCTCTTACATAAAAAAAAAACAAATTATAATTACAAATTAAATTTTTTGCCAAATAGTTTATTTTTTTCATCTTGCATAAAATTTACTTGCATAAATTTTTTTGCCAAATAGTTTATTTTTTTCATCTTGCATAAAATTGACAAATAAATGTATGTTTCGGTGTTATATTTATTTTGATATATATTTTTGATATTTGACGTGATATCAAAAGAAGTTTGTAAATAAAATTAGAGGCTTTAGCATTATTAGAGGAAAAACCAAAACTCCACTAGTGTGAGACAGACCAGGCAAAGACAACTCACGGGTCATATTTCAAGCATTGTGAGTTTTGGCAACGGTCAAATCGTAAATATTTAACCTATTATTCACAAAAATTGGGATGAGAAAATAAGTTTTATTGTAAGTCAATTGTTCAGAAATATTGAGTTCTGTTGAAATCAGATCGATGATGCATACCATTAAACATATGCAATTTTTTGATTACATTTTTTTTTGGAAATTTTAAACACAAAATTGTTATTTCCAACTTTTGAGGCAACTCCATCTTCAAATTTTGTTTAAGTTAATCCATTTGAAATCCGACTTAAAAGCATCAACAGATAAAATTTCAAATCGAAAGAGAGCAATTCTTAGCATCAATTGCTCACAGGCGGATATAGGCTTTTCCTCTCTGTGTGGATTTGCCAAAAAATGGTTGACCTTTTTGATTATTTTTTTTTCTGCTTGACAAAATGATTTTCCGATTTCTCTGAAAACAACATAAAGGCCTGAAAACACCATAAATTTTTCTGAAAACATCACTATTTTAACAGGAAAACTTTTGTAAGAACATGCCAGAAAAGCTTTTAGTTCACTTTTTGGAAAGTTTTGACCAAAAATTTTAAAATTTTTTTGATGCGCGCTCCCCATCAAAAAATAGTATGTAATGGCGCCTCAGAAAGCTTAGTTCTCTTTTTTACGCTTCTTATCAGCTCTGATTGGTCAACAATCTATCAGTGCCAAGTCAAGCAATGTTTAAACCTATACACATATACGGCTCAGAGTTGTCTGAGGTTGATCTATGTTTCGGGTCAGCGTCTTCAAATTTGGCTGTAAAACGCTCTCTAAAGGAAAATTTGCTCTGCAATTTGGCTACGCGGGAAATGAAATTTAACAGAAGCCCAAGTAATCTCAGTAGTGAGTTGAACAAAAAAATAAAAAACACAGATGATCATTAAGTCATGGGAGAAAAACTTTCAATTTAATTAACAAAGAATTCAATTGGAAACCTTTTCCAGTCAAAGTTTCAGTCAAAAACCAACTCTAAACGTCTTTCTCTCCGTCAGAACCCGATGTAATCTTTTTTATCAACACAATATGTTTTGATCAAATAAAATTGATAATAATATAATAAGCAAGACTGCTCGTATACCAGGGCAAAGTCCTGAATGTTCCAACTGTCCTTTAATTCATATTGAATATTTTTTAGGAAAAAAAATAATGAAAGCATAAATATTGGACAATATCAAAGTTTAAAATTTTGAGTCGTATGGAGTTAAAACGACCGATTACTAGCCTCAAATCAATTTGGAACAATTTTGTTGTGCGGGATAATTCGCCAAGCATAAACAACATGCGTTACTCTCTCAACATTAAGAGTAAACTCTTCATAACGCGTAAATTAGTCCAAAATATTGCCAATTTGGCAATTTTCAAACCCCCACAACTTTACAAAAAATAATTGGAGGTAAAATATCTTTTTTAATTTGAACTCTAATTTGAAAAATATCTCTTTTAATTTGAAAGTCGATATCTTCAATGAGGTATAAAATTTTTTTGTTGATAACTATTATTTCGATCGGCAAAAATTGATTGAATAAAAAACCACACCGATCATAAATTTTATGTTTTCTTCGAAACAAAAAACTTCTAGAAATTAGGCTAAGGGGTGTGATTAGTTTCAATAATGTCGTTTATTGCCTTATACGCCAAATTTCAAAACTTTCATGTTCAAAGCTTTGCAGAATTTTAGTCTGCGTGACCAAACTGTTTTGTAGAAAAAATGATAATACTCATGGATGTTTGTGAAAAAAAAACTAATTTCAGACAAAGAAAATTGATTTCTTCCATCAAAAAAGACTGCAGGCTATCAAGACTGTATATCAGGCTAAAATCCTGCTTGATCCGAAAGCCCCTGATGTGGTCTTGAATAGTCTTTGTTCAATTTTTTTTGATAAACTATAAATTTTATACTGCCAATAAAAAATGCAAATACCAACATTTGAGTTAAATTAATTTGAACAATTATAGTAACCTCAAATCGATTTGGAACGATTATGAGTGCGAATGATTAGCCAAGCATAATAAAATAATTTATTTAAAATATCAAGTATTAATTGAGCAGCAATGCCCTCCAAATTTTAATCTAGAGAAAGCATGCTCGCTTGGCGATACAAGGACTTCAGGATCGATACCCTTTACTTAGTCAACTTTTGAAAAATTGATCTGAATGAAAAAATCATCCCAGACATATATATTTCTCACTTCCAATGTAAGTCGGAACAACAAGCACCAATGGTAAAATACGTTCCCAAAACTTTTACCATGAAAGTCCGACTATCATCATTTTTCTCCATGAAAACTCACTGCTGGAACGTGTCCGATTCTCACAAAAACATTATTTTGTTTTTTTTTGTCAATAATGATATTGGAAATACATCGCTGTCATATTATTATTTTGCAAATTTCAAAACTCAAACTCTGACCTATTTTGTGGAAGTCGATGAAAACACGCGTCTCATAAATGTCGTCTCCGCTCAACATTTTTATAAAATGTCTCGAGATTACGTTAAATGCGAGATTTTCTGTTAATTTAGCGTTAATTTACAATCAAGTTATGAAAGAAGCAATAAGTAACGATTCGTCTTCAGCAATAAGTAACGATAAGTTCTCAAGCAAGCTAAATTCAGAGGTATTAACGGTTTTATCAATTTTTGTCAATGGGGTTTATTTGTATCAGATGAAGAGTCCTATTAGTCCCGAGCTAGGTTTAACTGGCTGGGGAACATTTCATTGCTGAAGTTGAAAATTTTAGATCTTTGCCCCGCCTATTTTGCAAGGATAGCAACGAGAAAATGGAATGGAAATGATAGTTTAAATGCCCACGAGAAATGAAAGCTGAAATAGGATCCTATTGAAAAATTTGTTTTCACTTAAATATAGGCAAAAAGTAAATTACACAGTTTTGAACCGAAAATTTTGAAGCTATAAAAGTCGAAGCTTAAAAAGTAAAGTGATTCTAGCCACTGGTTTTTCTATTTCTCAAGAGAAAAGTGAAAAGTGTGATCAACTTTTTTTTTCTCAATGAAGGACTCTCTTCTTTTCCATGGTAATTGGTTGGCGAATTAAAGAGCTTTGGTGGGCTGGCAAAGAGGAATTAATGAAGATTTTTGTCTTTATTGCGCCTCGTTATAGCTTTATTATGGTTGTTTACGTCAATTCACAAACAAACACGTTTCCTGTATTGAATTCTCCCGATGCCGTAAAAACTCGATATTCTTTGGGGCTTTGGTTGCGCAGGACGCAATTCATTTAAATTAATGTCTGATAACAAAATAAAATACTGAAGAAAAAAGACACTTTTAGTGTGAAAACTGATTTAAATTTTATTTATCTGTTTCTGTTTTATTGTACTTGCGGTAGACTTCGAATAGCTCGTAGCTATCAAGAGATAAAAAATAAAGTGACGCTCTTACTGCCCTAAATTTGTGAACGGGACTAAATACACTAAATTTGGTTTAGGTACAGTAATTAAAGGTTTCTAAAATGTACTGATTTGAAATTTCAAGAGGAAAGTTTCAGGTAACGCGATAAATTAGAAGGAAAATAAGAAGTAGGTAAATTTAGGTATCAAGTAGCAAAGCATAAACGTTATTTTTAAATGCAAGGATCGGAATATAAAAACTACTCAAATTGTTCCATTAAAATTAAATGGCAACTCTGTCTTTTAGATGGACAGCTGAATAAATTTCCGCTAAAACAAAGATACTTTAATCAAAATGTTTGTTTCAAAAATAAAAAAGAATTTGATCAGCTGATATGGAAACAATGATCTACATCAAATAAACATGTAGATCGCTTCGAAAAACAAATTTTTTTTATAGTTACGTAAAAACAACGATTTTTCATGGGAATCTACTTTATATGCAAAAACAAAAAAATACATCCAAGTAAGTTTTTAAGTGTAATAACATGAAGTAATGTTTAGTAAATTGTACAAAAAAATAATAAATTAAAAGTTGCTTTTTCGTCCACTTTGAACCAATTTTCCATTGGATATTCAATACAAATTGACACTTTTCAGTGTTACGTAGCCTTGATGAAAATTATTCAAAAAAGAGCCAATAAAAATTTAGCGGTATTTTTACTCTTAAAAAAGCATCAAACATTGTTAGATATATTTAAACGGATACAGTTCACCGAAACCGCAGGCAAAAATAAGGCCGTGAAAAGTGTCTAAAAGTGATGCCGGAGTTTGCAACCAATTGATTTTCACTTTTAAAAACTCAAGTCAACGAATTTATTTTATTTTTAGGTACTACTTACGATAAAAAATGAAAGCCTTTAAGTTTTCAAGCTTTACCAGGATTTTCATGGTTTGTGTAGTGTGGTTAAAAAAACTGTATCATTTGGTTTTTGCGGCTACGTTAAGCTTTTGTACTTCGCCTTGAAAGTTTGAAATCGCTTGGATGGTTTTTTGTACGAGTACAGAACTTATTTTTGCGGATAACTGCGTTGACCTCAATTCAACTACTTTTATAATATTTTTCTTTTGTAAATTTGATATTTCTATTTTTATTATTTTTTAGATTTTGATAAAAATTAAGGAAATGACTTCATTTCTACCAAAAGAAACTAACAAGAATTAAATAAATAATTAAGTTTTATTTCCTGCTCAAAACTTTATAAAAAAAACATGCAAGAAAGGAAGCGCGCCTTCCGTTATATGGTGAAACTGAACTTAGGTTTTGATTTTTCCTCTAGACGCAGGGTCAGAGACCCATCTAGACTTTCCTGAGAGGCAGAGGGGGGAGGGGTAAAGTTTGCAGAATTTGAGCTACATCTATAAAATACTTAGTTTTAGCTCGAGCTAATAACAGTTGATTTAACTATATTGTTTATTTTCGGTTAGTTTGGTGTTTAGTCGATAAAAGATCAAACATTGCCCTAGGGCACAGTGCAGCAGCAGAATACAAAAGTTTTTCTCAATACACCACCGATTTGGCGAAATACGGTAGCAGCCACTACAAGAGCAGACAAAAAGTCATAATTTTAGAGATGAAAATTGTGACTAGACAATTAGTTTCGATATACAAACAATTTTACGCACAAAAAACGGTAATCCACAGCACCAATACTAACAATAGTTCACAGAAACACTGAAAGCCGACGAAATCAACGAACTGAACGCTTCAAAAGCACCTATAACACAAGAGACAGTGAACTTCAAATAACTTAGAAACTGTACCCGCACAGAGCGCCCATGGATTTTAATCGATTATAATGGATTCCCGAGACAAAAATAATCGATTATAATCCATTACGGATGTAAAATTCAGACCTTGAAATCGATTATATTGCCATTATAATCGATTATTTTTGAGAAAAAATAATCCATTATAAACAATTATAATCGATTATAATCCATTATTTTGGCACTGAAATCGATTAATTTGTCAAGAAAATCCATTATAATCGATTATTTATGAGGTAAAAAAATCCATTATAATCCATTATAATCGATTATAATCGATTATTTATGAGATAAAAAATCCAAAAATTGATTATAATCCATTTTAGTTAGCTAATTCAGCGATTCTATTTTTAGTTCTAATTATGCCTGGAAGAAAAAAAGCAAGTTTAAAGATGTAAAATTACAAAACTGCAAATATACGAAAACATGCATATATATAAAATTCTCATTACTGTTTTAAAATACTGCAATAGAATTTTTTAAAAAATCAGCAATATAAATAAGATTTTGTGCACAAAAAATACAATCAAATCATGAAAATCATCAATTTAAACAAAATTTTGTGCACAAAAAATTTAATAATCTCATGCGAAATTATGAAAAACTAAGGGAGTTTGGGCACAATTACATGCAATAAAATGAAGAAACTTATCAATATATACAAGATTTTGTGCACAAAAAATTTAATAATCTCATGCGAAATTATGAAAAACTAAGGGAATTTGGGCACAATTATATGCAATAAAATGAAGAAAATCATCAATATATACAAAATTTTGTGCACAAAAAATTTAATAATCTCATGCGAATTTATGAAAAACTAAGGGAATTTAGGCACAATTATATGCAATAAAATGAAGAAAATCATCAATATATACAAGGTTTGTGTACAAAAATTTAATAATCTCATGGGAAATTATGAAAAACTAGGGGAATTTGGGCACAATTATATGCAATAAAATGAAGAAAATCATCAATATATACAAGATTTTGTGCACAAAAAATATAATAATCTCATGCGATTCGCAGGAACTACATTATTATTTATTATTCATAGCCATATATTGAACTACTTCACGTGGGTTTCTCCTTTTAGATTTGGAGTTTGTGTGTCTCCGAAAATGCGATAAAATGCGAGACCCCTCAAACTCCCCCAGTGCGCATCATGGTTCCGAAGCAACTGAGTCGGGAGGAGCAGGACTTCAACCCCGTAGACTTCATCAATTTCTGCTGTTGTGACCTCGTGCGTCTCAGTTGCATTTTGTGCCACCCAAGAATTTGGGCATAATTATATGCAATAAAATGAAGAAAATCATCAATATATACAAGATTTTGAGCACAAAAATTTAATAATCTCATGGGAAAATATCAAAAGAAACAAGATCTTGGGCACAAAAATATGCAATAATCTCATGAAAATCATCAAAGTAAACCATATTTTAGGCACTTAACAAGCAAAAATATCTGAACTTCATCAATGTAAAGAATATTTTTACTGCAAAAAAAAAATTAACAAATTTTTCATAAAAATCATCAATATAAACAAGATTTTAGGCACAAAATTATGCAAAAAAATCAAAAAAATCATCAATTTTGACAAGATTTTTAGCACAAAAAATATGCATTCATATCCTAGCCAAATGAAAATTAGAAATTTATTCAAATTTTTCTTTAGGGGATTTTTAATTATGCCTGGAAAAAAAGCAAGTTTTAAGGTGTAAAATTACAAAACTGCAAATATACGAAAAGGTGCAAATATAAAAAAATCTCATTTCTGTTTTAAAATACTCAAATATTAAATACTCAATTTTAGATATAAAACACTCTCAAAATGTTTTATTTTGAAAGATGTTTTGAACGATTCTTAATTTTCAGGCCTGTCTGCTAATTTCAATACAGAGACCACTTCTGCTTCTGGTGAGCCAGTGATCTGGTAGTAGAGCCAGTGACCTCAGCGGGCATCGGGTAGGAGAGCCAGTGACCTCAGCGGGCATCGGGTAGGAGAGCCAGTGACCTCAGCGGGCATCGTGTAGGAGAGCCAGTGACCTCAGCGGGCATCGGGTAGGAGAGCCAGTGACCTCAGCGGGCATCGGGTAGTAGAGCCAGTGACCTCAGCGGGCATCGGGTAGGAGAGCCAGTGACCTCAGCGGGCATCGGGTAGGAGAGCCAGTGACCTCAGCGGGCATCGGGTAGGAGAGCCAGTGATCTCAGCGGGCATCGGGTAGGAGAGCCAGTGACCTCAGCGGGCATCGGGTAGGAGAGCCAGTGACCTGAGCCATTGTTTTCAAGTCAATTAGTTTAACCAAACTGAGTTAAATTGAATGGTTTGCACCAAACTTTAAACGGCTTACACCAACTATTGATTCAAATTGAATGGTTTGCATGAAACCTTGACTTGAACTGGGAGGATTAAAAAAAGAATTGTTTTCAGGTCAATTAGTTTAACCAAACTGAGTAAAATTGTATGGTTTGCACAAAATTTTAAACGGCTAACACCAACCATTGATTCAAATCGAATGGTTTGCACCAAACCTTGACTTGAACTGGGAGGATAGTACAGTAGAAAAGATCAAAGAAGAATAGCAATGTTGCGGATTCCGCGGCGTATTTGATTATTTTTCCTGTTGCGGAAACCGCTTGCAGTTTGGCCTCGTAATGCTCCAAATTTTTATTAAAAACATTGTAAACATATACATAGGACAACTTCAAAACCGGAGAAAAGATGAAACTCAGAGGAAAACATGACCAAAAATCTGAATACTAAAGAAAAACGTCAAAAATTTGTCAGGTTGTTTTTTTTTGTGTTGAAGCAAAATGAATTGTACCAAAAGAAAGCCTTCAAAACCAATCGTAAAGCTATTGCGAAGATTTAGTGCACCTTAACAAAGTGATTGCAAAAACAAAGTGATTTTTGAGAGCGTTTGGAAAAATAGACAATGACTGAAATCAATTTGAGTTACAAAAAACTCCGAAACTTTTAATGATCTTTTTTTGAGCCTATTGCGAGTTTTTGGAGAACCTTCACAAAATATTGAGGAACCCAAAACGCCTATTAGGAGCAGTTTAAATACGTTTTTTAAAATGTCTCAAAATAGCTAATAGAAGATCACTTCATTTTCAAATAACATGTTTTTTAACACATCAAACTCCTAGAATTTGATAGCTCAACCAAATCAAAGTGTTTTGACTTACATTGACCAAAACTCTTGAAGAAATACTGTTTTGACAAATTCTGGTTTCAACGCGTTTGTTGATGATATTTTCCTGAAAAAAAAGAACAATTATAATGAAGATAATTAGAGTTTTAATTTTGGAAATAATGACCTTCATTATCAAAAAGCTAACCTTTAATTGTTATCTTGATGTTTCTGAAGATTCAGATTTTCTGAGGATATGATTAAAATATTCGAACGTCAGGTACTTATCTGAAATAAGTGGGAACAAGATTTTAAAAAATGTCTCAAAAATAGATAACAGACAATCACTTGCTTTTCAATTAACATGTTTTTTAACACATCAAACTCCTAGAAATTGATAGCTCATCCAAATCAAAGTGCTGCAGGTCAAATCTACTTCATAGCCTACAAAAAAATTAATTAAAATTTGAAGAAAAAAAAACTTACAACCCAGAATCTAGCGGAAATTTGGATCTAACCAACTTTCTCACGTCGCCGAAGAATCAAAAAATTCTTCTCTGCGATTTGGTATACAGTTGAATCGAATAGTTTGCCTTGACTTGAACTGGGAAGATTGCAAAGGAGTTTGATTTCAACTCAATTAGTTTGAAAAAACCTAGTTAAATTGAACAGTTTTGCACCAAACTTTGAATGGCTTACACCAACCATTGAGTCAAACCAAATGGTTTCCAGTGAACCTTTATGAAATGAATGGCTTACACCAAACATTGATTTGCCCAGAAAAACTGGTAACAAAAATTTTGCACGAGCTGAATATTTTAGACCAAGTCTTGAAAAGAACTGATAAGATGACGCCAAATTTGGATTTACAGTGACTGGCTATCACATACATCAAGTTAAGTTAAACGGTCTGTACCATACTTTGATTTGAAGCAACTGGTATGCACCAAACATTTACTCGAAATGAATGTCTTGTATTTAACTTTGATTTGAGCTGAATACCTAGCTACAATTTTTCTTTATTGAACTGAATCATTTGAGCCCTACCTTGGCTTGAATTAATCAGACTGCTGCAACTATTTATCGGCTAGCACCACTCCTTGATTCGAAATGAATGTTTTGCAACAAACGTTGAATAAAAGTGGTGGGCTCGCACTGATTTGTGAAAAAAAAGCTTAAATAAGCATTGAAATAATTTTAATTGCTTTCTATTTCGACTGAAGGCCAGTTATTGTTATGGCTCCGAAATAATAACACGTGTAAAAAAATACAAAACGATACAAAATTGAATCAGCCTCAAACTTTTAAAAAAAAGTGAAGTAATCAAATTGTTTCAATTGTTAAGAAGTCTTCTTCGGAGCTCGTAACCCCAGATGTTTGAATCCCTAACTGCCCTTTCTATTTGGTCGGTTGATTGGAACTTCTGGTGGACAGCATCCGTGAACATTTGTTCCAACACTGAGCCAAATTTGTGCCTAGTAGCTTGAAGGCTTTCATTTCCCCCAAGCCTAAAGAAAATTAGGACACAGCTTGAACCCTCCCCAAAAACAAGCTTCGCCATTGCCGCCCAAATTTTTCGGGGCTATCGGACATTTTGCTCAAGTCCATCCCATTCCATTTATGTGGTGCTACTGATTCGGATATGTTCATTTGTAAAAATTAGTTAATCTGATTCAGAAAAAAACGGCGATAACATATACCAATCTAAATTTATGTATTGGCTGG